GCTATTGTGTTAGTATTACTGAAGACAAAAGTAAACTTGATCTGGGGGTAATTATTTTGTAAGAGGACTTTTAGTTGTTTCCACACTATCTCCATTTTGTATCCAGGTTGATCAATGGAAATGTAGAAAACAAACTACGTAAAGTAGATTCAGTTCACAGCAAAAAGCTCTTACACTTGGGAATTGATATAAAGAAAAAAGTGGACAAAAATAAAGTAATATTTAACTTCTCTAACATAATTTTAACTGAAGAGCAAAAGGACGTACTTTCCTATGGCTTAGATTATTGTATACCCCAAACTAAACTGGCTTTTCATAAATTTTACCTATACTTTGAAAAACTGTGTAGTACCATAAAGAACTGTGACATCTACAACAACAACTTCAATAATGTTGCTAACAACATTACAACTATAGCCAACAATACTTTTATAAAATTCTCACACCAAAGAAAACAAACACGTGATTCAGATGCTTTCTTGTCACCTCTACATACCCTTAAAAATGATAACTCAATAGTAATAACCAAACCTGACAAGGGAAGAGGAGTTGTTATTGTAAACAAGTGTGATTATAAACAAAAACTAATGGATATTCTTAATGACCAAACAAAATTCAAACGAATCTCGACTGAAATATCCACTCATCTTCTTTACTTGGAAGACAAATTAAACAGACTGCTTCGTACCATCAAATCATCCATCAGTTTAAATACCTATAACTCCCTCTTATCATCTGGTTCCAGACCTGGTGTACTTTATGGACTTCCCAAGGTTCATAAACCAAATATTCCACTAAGACCTATTATTTCCTCGATTGGCACTTTTAATTATAATGCTGCTAAATTTCTTGTCCCTGTCATCTCTCCCTTAACAACCAATCACTATACCATTGATAATTCCACAGCTTTTGCTAAAGAAATCACATCACTAAACTACCAAAACCCCGTCACAATGGCGAGTTTTGATGTGGAATCATTGTTCACCAACGTGCCTCTACATGAGACCACGGAACTAATAGTTAACAACCTGAACATTTCTCATCTTGATAAATTTGGATTAGATAAAGTTCACTTCAGAAAATTACTTGAAATTACAGCCCATCATTCAGTGTTTTGTTTTGATGATTGCTTGTATACGCAAACAGACGGCGTAGCCATGGGCTCTCCACTCGGCCCGTCCTATGCTAATGCGTTTCTGTGTCATCACGAACAAGACTGGCTAGAACAATGCCCGCTTGAATTTAAACCTCTACATTATCGTCGGTACATTGACGATACTTTTCTGCTCTTCAAACATCCCTCACATGTTAATCTCTTCTTAGATTATCTAAATTCCAAACACCCCAGCATCAAATTTACCTGTGAAATACAAAAGGACAACCAATTACCCTTTTTAGATACTATAGTCACCAATAACAACGGTAACTTCCATACAAGTATCTACCGTAAACCAACTTTCACTGGCCTTGGACTACACTTCCTCAGTTTTACCCCATATATTTATAAGATAAACAGTGTTAAAACTCTTATAACAAGGGCCTATAATGTATGTAGCAACTGGGCCGCCTTTCATATTGAAATGTCATTTTTGAAAAACTTCTTTTTAACAAATGGGTACCCATTATATATTTTTGATAAAATAACCAAAACTTTTTTATGCAAAAAATTCACTGATCACCAAACTGTCTTTACTGTTAAACGAGACCACAAGTATGTCAAACTACCTTATATGGGTGATTTAAGCTGTGAGATAAGGAAACAACTAAAAGTCCTCTTACAAAATAATTACCCCCAGATCAAGTTTACTTTTGTCTTCAGTAATACTAACACAATAGCGAAATTCTTAAAACAACCTTTTAACTACAGTTCTGATTTGTGTTCGAATGTGGTTTATCTATTTACCTGTCCTAGCTGCCAAGCTAGGTACGTGGGGTCGACATCACGATGGCTCCGTCACCGCATCTCCGAGCACAAAGGCAAATCGTTCAGAACTGGTCTACCGCTGAGTAAACCATCTTTCTCGGCAATAAGAGAACATTCGCTTCAACACTCACATCCCTTTTCTAACACTGATTTCAGTATTTTGTCCTCCCACTCCTCACGGCAAGACCTCATCACCTCAGAATCCTTGCTAATTAAAAAGATGAAACCGGAGTTGAACAACATAACGACAGCAACTCCCTTGTTTACACACTGACTGCCCATCACCATAAATCACCTATTCTTGGTTAGTTTTTGACTTTCTTGTGCATTCCATATTTATGAATTGTATTTTTGTATTTATATCCTTGTTCTGAGTTTATGTACTTTGTTTGTATTCGTATTTTTCGTATTCTTTCGTGTTTTTATCTGTGTTTTTATATCATTTAGTTTCACGTTGTTTCCTAAAACCAGAATGAACTATTTCATTTACATTGTCTAATTGACCCTATTGTCTGGTTATTTCAGCATTGACAATGAAGGACTGTTGAAGCCTTCGAAACGTTTGCTAATAAACATGCGATTCTTCACGGCCGTATTGATCCACCTCTTCTTGCTTACGATTCGACGAATTATCGGAATACCTATTACGGAATATATATATATTATATATATATATATTATATATATATATATATATATATATATATATATATATATAATGTGTGTATATGTTTATATATGTGTGTGTGTGTGTGTGTGTGTGTGTGTGTGTGTGTGTGTGTGTGTGTGTGTGTGTGTGTGTGTGTGCATATATATGTGCATATATATGTATATATATATATATATATATATATGTGTGTGTGTGTGTGTGTGTGTGTGTGTGTGTGTGTGTGTGTGTGTGTGTGTGTGTGTGTGTGTGTGTGTGTGTGTGTGTGTGTGTGTGTGTGTGTGTGTGTGTGTGTGTGTGTGTGTGTGTGTGTGTGTGTGTGTGTGTGTGTATGTATATGTTTATAATATATATGCATATATATATATATATATATAAACGCACGCACACACACACACACACACACACACACACACACACACACACACACACACAACACCATAATATATATATATATATATATATATATATATGTGTGTGTGTGTGTGTGTGTGTGTGTGTGTGTGTGGTGTGTGTGGTGTGTGTGTGTGTGTGATTTGTATATAGATTCATAAACATACATATGTATATATATGTGTGTGTGTGTGTATTATATATATATAATATATATATATATATATATATATATATATATATATATATAAATATTTACATATATATATATGTATAAAGATAGATATATATATATATATATATATACATATATATATATATATATATATATATATAATATATATATATATATTATATATATATATATTATATCTAGGAGAAGGTATTAGTCATTATTCAATAATCATTTTCATTTTTGTTCATTATACTCATCATTAATTATTATCTCATTCCATATGAAGGAATTTCCTTCGTAAATCTCAAGTTAATTCATCATTTCCAATAACCACAGGATTCATCACAAACAGTTACCAATAACAAAGGTTTATTATTAATAGAAAAAATATGAAATGAAATAAATATAACAATTAATGTGAAACTAAAAACAATAAATCCATGCTTCATTTGGCCGGAGCAGCCGTCTCGCAAACAGATATTCATATATCTTTACAATCAGCAGATTTTACCATAATATACTTTCGTATCTGGATGCATGTTGGAACAAAGCATACCTCTAAACATTTAGACAAAGTTTACCATATATATAACCCTAGGAGTGCCCTATAAGCATGTACCCGCAGAGAGCTCCTTACCTCGTCACCGCCCCGCAGTCACTGCCCATACCCAGAACTGTCAAAAACAGCTGATCACTAGAAAACGGGAAATCGAACCTTATCGGAATACTTCGTTTAAACGTGTTTACATGGATAACTTTCCTGTTTTACTTAAGTATTGTTCCGTGTATGTTAGGACTATATAACACCCCCACCGCAAAGATAAACCCATCGGGTTTTATACTCATTAACCTGGTCTGGAGAGACTATCCGCTATTATATTATTGCGACCTTTTATGTGCTTTACCACCAGATTGTACGGTTGCAACGCTAAGTACCACCTTGCCAAGCGTTGGTTTTTTGTTTTTCATTCTCATAACGAACTGAAGCGGGTTATGATCACTAAAGACTTCAATCTCGTATGGCGTGCAGCTCAAGTACACATCGAACTTTTCAAGAGCCATGAGAAGAGCGGCAGCTTCTTTTTCTATCGTGCTATAGTGAGTTTGGTGCGGCTTGAACTTCGCAGACGAGTAACAGACCGGGTGCAGAACCCCGTCTTTTCCTTCCTGCAAAAAACTGATCCTGCAGCCACGTCACTGGCATCTACCTGGAGGGTAAAAGGTTTATCAAAATCTGGAGACTTTTAGGACAGGTTCACACATTAGAAAGTTCTTTAATTTACTGAAAGACTCCTGACATTTAACCGTCCATTTGAATTCTTTCTTAGGACTCAAAAGATCTGTTAATGGTTTGGCTACGTCAGCAAAGTTTGGACAAAACCTACGGTAGTACCCAGCCATACCAATGAATCTTTGAACTGCTCTTTTATTCTTAGGTACAGGTAACTCATCGATAGCTTCAACCTTGGCTTTAACTGGAGCAACCTCTCCTCCTCCAACCTCGTGACCGAGATACCTCACCTTCGCTTGTGCAAACTCACTCTTGACCAGATTAACAGTGAGCCCGGCATCTTGAAGGCGTTCAAAAGGGATCGCAGTGTTGCCACATGGTCCTCCCAGTTACGGCTGTAAACTACAAGGTCATCTATGTATACCTTTACCCCTTTGAGATCCCGTATTATCGAAACCCGTCAGCCGCTGAAATGAGCTAGCGCATTCTTCAAACCAAATGGAAGCACACAATAGTTATAAAGCCCATTAGGGGTCACAAACGCTGTTATCTGCTTCGCCTCAGGTGATAAGGGCACCTGATAATAGCCCTTCAGGAGATCAATTACAGTGATGAACTTGGACTCCCCAATGGCATCTATTATATCCAATATTCTAGGCAAAGGATAGCAGTCCCCTTTAGTGAGTTCATTAATCCTCCTATAGTCTGTCACCATTCTCCAACCCTTAGATTTTGGCACAAGTGCGCAGGGTGATGCCCATTCACTCTCACTAAGTTCGGCAAGACCATTTTTGAGTAAAAAGCTTACCTCCTCTTCCATAATTTTTGCTTTGTAAGGAGACATTCTATAAGGTGCTTGCTTGACAGGAATAGCCCCGTCAACAAGCTTTACGTCATGGGTCACCAGGTGCGTCTGTCTCGGTATATCTCCAAGAACATCACTAAACTGCTGAAGCACACACAAGATATCTTGCTGCTGTTCATGGGATAAATGAGAAATTTTAGAGTTTGGATTTTTCAGAATGTCACTATTTTGCAATTTGAACCCAACATCGCCCACATCAAAGTCACTCTCCATCTCAGGTGAAGCGGCAGTATCTCCCCGCTCTTCAGGAACAAAGATCGCACACAAGGCACTGGCAGCTTCCGGTCTACGTGGGTGATATTTCTTAAGGAGATTGATGTGAACCACCTTTTTCTTTTTCCTGCGACCCGGAGTAGCAATTACATAATTAATGTCATTAATTTTCTCCAGTACTTTGAAAGGTCCCTGATATTTTGCAGTTAATGGTTGTTTTCTAACAGGTAAAAACAATAGCACTTTTTCCCCAATACCAAATTCTCGTTCAATTGCATTTCTATCATATGTTCCCTTCATTGAGCACTGTGCTCTTTCTAAATTCTTATGAGCAAATTCTTGAAGGTGTTGCAATCTGGTCTTCATTTTTACCACATAATCACTTAGAGACCCTGAATTTTCAATACCTATCCAGCTTTCATACAATAATTTCATGGGTCCGCGGATGTCTCTCCCAAATAACAATTCATATGGTGAGAACCCGAGACTCTCCTGCTTAGTACATCTTATGGCATACAACATTAAAGGCACTCCTAGATCCCATTCACTGCCCGTTTCATGACAATATTTCGTGAGCATACTCTTAAGTGTTTGATGGTACCTTTCAAGGGCACCTTGCGTCTGTGGCCGATAAGCTGTGGCACTATACTGCTTAACGTGTAACAATTTCATTACTTCCTGAAACATTACTGACCAAAAATTGCTTCCCTGATCGGACTGCAATACACGTGGCATACCATACTGTGTAAAAAATTTGATCAAGACTGGGACGATAGTACGAGATGTAGCTCGTTTCAAAGGAATTGCCTCGGGGTACCTAGTACTGGCACACATGAGGGTAAGTAAAACCTATTTCCGCTCTTTGTTCTGGGAAGAGGTCCAACGCAATCAATGATTACCCTTGAGAATGGTTCCTCAAATGCAGGGATAGGCTTAAGAGGTGCAGGTGGGATAACTTGGTTAGGTTTACCAACCCTTTGACAAATATCACAAGTTCGACAATATCTCGTTACATCTGACGTAACACCTGGCCAATAAAAATATCTGAGGACTTTATCGAGTGTCTTCTTGATACCCAAGTGCCCTCCACCCAAATCGTGAGCCAAACTAATAACTTTAGGTCGATAACAAGTTGGTACCACCACTTGAAAAACTTCGTGCCACGAATCGGTTGCCGGTACTTCAGGTGGTCTATATTTCCTCATCAATATCCCTGAATTTAGATAATACCCTGATGGCAATGACTGAACCTCTGATTTTGACACGGCTGTATTACGTAGTGACCTTAGAGATTCATCAGATTTCTGGGCCTCAATTAGCATTCTACTGGTTATAGAAACCTCATCAACGTTAATTACTTCCCCAATATCGTCAGATCCCTCAATAACAGCTTCATCATTTACCTCAACAGCTTCATCATTTACCTCAACAGCAGCTTCATCATTTACCTCAACAGCAGCTTCATCATTTACCTCAACAACAGCTTCATTATTTACCTCAACAGCAGCTTCATCACCAAATAGACATTCAAGACCAAGCTCATTCTGACCAACACTTCTATCAGATAGCCTTGGCAACTTCTTCGCCTGACTTCTCGTTACAGCACATGCTGGAAAAAGTCCTGGATTAATTCTTGCAACATCTACAGCAGGATCATAAGCAACTGGGGACGGACAAACAACAGGATTAGGTAGCAGTCGAATCCCCGCAATATCATTCCCCATCAAAAATGATACTCCCTTAATAGGCAACGAATCATGAACACCTACTACAACAGGTCCACTCACCAAATCCGTCCTCAGATAAAGCTTACAAAGGGGCACTGTAACGCACCCTCCAAAACCTTCCACTACCACATACTTCCCAGTGAATGCATCCTCCAGAAAAGGAACTGCCTCCTTCAAAACGACACTATGTGAAGCACCAGTGTCACGAAATACAGACACGGGAACAGAAGGACTAGCTTCATCTAAGGCCACGGAACCAGAGAAGATGAAAGGCTGAAATGAATCATGATCGCTCGAGGTACGCT